GCTTAGAGTCACCTTCCTTTCTTTGTTTTATGAATCAGTCAAGAGGAGAATGAAGACTAAGAAAATTGAAAAAAAAAAAAAACACAACAACAACAGATTGGACAAAATAAATGACACCACAAACCTGTCAAAAATTGACGCAATTTGCAGCCAGAATGTGTGGAAGTTTATGTTTGTGCTTGATTTTAGTATATTTAGGACTAGTAAAGGGAAATTCCCATAGAAAGTCTATTAAACGCGTGAATCAACAGTCAGATGTTGAGTTTGTGTCGCCTGTGGATAAATAACAAACATTAGGACATATTGAACACTAATTTGTCATTAGAAACAAAAAAAGTGAGTCAAGTGCTAGAAAAAAAAGTATTCAGTCTGCATGGTCCCCATGGTCTGCATTTTGGGGTGACTGCAAAAATTTGGGCTAGAAGAATTTCATTATCATAATTGATACTGGCTGAGTAATAATTACTTATTATTGCTAGTTAGCATAAGTTGGTATAGGTGAAGAGCCATTTTAAGTCTGGATACGCTGTTAATAAACCATTGTTATGATCATTATTATTGATGATTGCTATTGGGACAGTAGGCAACTGAGCCTGTGGAAAACCCATGGTGGAGCCACGCAACATTATAGCAAAGAACTGATGTATTCATTGCAACTCTGCAAGTAACAACTTTAGGGCATTATCATATTTAAAGAACTAGTCAAGTTCAGTTACTTTCCATTTGATAGGGGGATACCCTTAGCAAATTGTGGCACAGACAAATTACTGCCATATTTATACAACTATGAATGCCTTTGAAAGGAAGAAGTGCTTTGCCCTGGGTGCTTTGCCAGGTGTTAGAGGGTGTGTACATTGTTATTGTTTTCTAGGCAGTAATGTAATTGATTTGTATTTCTTTTTAGTTTAAAGAGGCTAATGGATCTTGATGATTCATTTGTGAACTCCCTCAAAATTGAAGACTATGACATCAGTTGTGTGTGTCTCAATTCACAAGCTCAGAGAATTCCCAGAGGTACTGTAATGGTACACTTGTCATTATTTCCCATGTTTCCTTTGTGGTTCTTGCCTCTACCTGCTTTTGCTATATGATATTATAATGTTATGCCATTATAATTATTATGAACATTTTCTTATTTTGTCTAGATCCTGTCCTCTCCTCTCCTGCCATATGTATGTGAAGACCTCTTGTTCCCTTTATTCCCACCACACCCGAAACCAGGGAATATGACACGTGCCATTTTTAGGTGTACATGTACCTCATAAACATTTTTTGTTCCCTTTCTTCTTCTCGTAATTCTGAGTTTGGAAGAACTTTAAAAAGCTGTGGAAACACTCACATGACGCTCAGTTAATCTGATCAGACAGCATTTCTTGTTCTTGTAAACTTCCTCAACTCTTTTACAACTGTTTAACTGCCTGAAATGTGACTGTTGTATATGGATTGTTCACTCTATATACAGTTGAACCTCCACTAACGGCCACCTATCTACAACAACCACCTCTTTATAATGGCCTCATTTTTTTTGGTCCCAGTCGACAGTCCATACATTCACTTTAATTTTAACCTCTCCACAATGGCAAGGGCCACTAAAACCCATCCCAACTGCAAAAATAACCTCTTGACAACGGCCAGGTAATCAATGACCGACGAACAGTGTCTACAAAACCCCATTTTTGTACCATAAAAGGTCACTAAACTTGATGTGAACTGTGCGTTGTTAGTCTCTGTTTCTGTTTATTGATACCTTTTGTTTTATATATGCTTTAAATAAGCATTTTTGAAAAGAAAAATGTTGCATCCCTGAAGAAACAGGTGTCATATTACACTCTTACCTCCTCATAACAGCCACCTCTCTATAATGACCACTTTCCTCTGTCCCCAAGGTGGCCTTTGTGGAGCCGTTCAACTGTATTATATGGATAAGTAACCAAGTGTGAGGTCAAGATGGCTGGACATTGGCCAAGTTCTTTGCACCTGTTTATTGACTGAGATGCAGTCAAGGTCCACAAACACCCCAAAATTAGAAAGAACTAGGCCAATATCTTGTCATCTTGACTGATCAAACTTTGTCAATAAAAGATATTGAATCATTATTTGTATAAGTAGCCACATGATTTTAAGTGCAATTTGGAATAAACAAGCAGGAATACATTTTTCAGAGGCTTACAAAATTGCATGAATCCATAGAGTGATTGTAATTGAAGGCTTTTGTGCAAAAAGGGCGTATATAGCTTTTTGGGCCGATTTTAATTTTTTCAGGATCAAGCTAATTTTTGGCAGACAAAGAAAAGCTCCAGTCATTCTATAATTGTTTTTGTTGATTTAAGCTTCGTTTGCAAGAAATAACGTAGGCAAAAAAACTCAGTTTTCCTTGGGTATCGTTTGGAGATCTTTTGTTGAACAAAAAGCAAAAGAAACCTTTTGTTTTGCTAACCGATGAAGTCACCAAAGCGTGACATTTGCCGTTAGTTGTTCGAACCGATACAAGTTTTATTATTCATATAATTATGCTATTCTCTTACTGTTGCTTCATTAGTGCAAGCGAATAAGGTACTGAATGGACCAGATGCAAGTTTGTTTTGTCATGACACCAGTTCAATACAAGGTCGGTCGATATTTTTTTCCAGTCTATTTCTCTACTTCTTTCAAAAATAAAAGCATCTATTGAAAAGAAACCGTGCTGTCAAAGCTGCTAAAAGTAACCATCTAAGTTACTAAACTGAGTTTTTTGCGTACGTTATTTCTCGAAAACGAAGTGCAAATCAACAAAAACAATTACACAACGATGCTTTTCATGTCAAAACAAGTCAGTCTGCCAAAAATTGGCTTCATCCAGCAAAAAATAAAAATTGGCCCAAAAAGCCACATACGCCCTTTTTGCACAAAAGCCTTCAATTTGTAGTCTTGGACAATTTATTGCTACTTTCATATTTATCCCAAATTGCCTGCGATTACTTGGACAGGATGCAGTGCTAATCTTCAGAACTTTCTGAAAATATTCACAAAACTCCTCACAATGTTGGAATGCCTTCAACAATCTTCAGAAGACCTTGCAGGAGCACCCCTATACCACCTAGGCTAAAATCAGTACATTTATTGTCCTGACTTGGAGATGTTTTTGGTAATTTGCACATGTGTTCGACAATTCAGTAATCCAGTCACGATTGAGTAATTTTTCAAGTGTATCATTAGCTATAAAGAACCCAACTTTCTTGTAAAAAACAACAAGTAGTCCTGAGCAGGTAAGATAGAACCTGTCTTACCCACTTGGGTAGCCAATCACAGTGGGGAATTTAGTTTGTCTTGTCTGCTCAGGGAGCTAACGTGTAATAATCAAGTAGGACCCCTTTGATAAAAGTGTTAAATACGCTGATGGGTCATTCTGTTAAAACATTTGTTGTTGCTGTTATTATTGTCATTATCATTATCATTATCATTATCATTATCATTATTATTATTATTATTATTATTATTATTATTATTATCATAAACCATGTAAAAAATTGCATGTTTCTGTTGGTGCATAACTTATTTTGTTCTATCAGCCATAGAAGTCTTACCCCAATGGTTGATATCTGCTATGAAGTGCCTTATACACTGTAAGTTTGTCCTTTTGAAATGAACATTGTATTAAAATTTGGAAGTGTAATAGTGTAGATCACATATATAAGCTTTATATCTCTACATGTAGGTATGTATCTCACTGAAGGCAGCTAAAAAGGTTGTTTTAGCCTAAGTTATTATCTGATTGTAATTACATGTATTACCTTAAGGGCCAAATGGTGATTACTCCAATCGAAGCTTTCCGAAGTATGGAGGTTTTGAGCGAGATGTGTTCAAAGCTATCGTGGAGTTCTTTGATGATGAAGATAAACGTCCACTTGTCCCAAGACATTTGCTAAGAGTCTTCCAGAAGACAGTAGGTAAAGAAACTTTGTTGATATGTAAACTCGCCCACCATTGACACACTAAAAGCAGATGATTTATATCCAGGCATAGTCATTCGATAAACCGATAATCAATATCAATCCATAATAATCAATATCAATCGGAGAATGATATCGATTGCTATCAGCAATGGAAGAAAATCAATGAAAAAAAAAGTTGTGAGTTTGATTGTTATCAATAACTGCTGATAGTAATTGATAACGATTGATTCATCAATTGGTATCGATTGTTATCGGAATTATTTTTGTCCTCTAACAAGTTTCACTGATAAAATGATTGACAAAATTTGTCTGTAATGTATTATTGAGTCATTTTAGGTTTATAGCCTACACATCTTTTACAATCATCAACAAAATAAGAAGAACAGAAAGAACTAACAAATCATTTTGGGCTTTACATCTTTCTTCAAAATAACAACTGCCAAACCAAGTTTGATGCCTTTTGCTTAAAGATGGCAGCGATCTGGAGGGCTGCAGTGTCAGTGTGTTTATGAATTTGAGCTAGACTCTGATTTACGGAAAATTGCCAACAAAGATATTAAGGATGGAGTCAATAGCACGACTATGAACAGATATAAATTGTTAATGGTAATTGTTGATTATTTTTATCACTCAATACCATTGTTATTCCTGAAGACAAGAATTACCGATTGTCAGCGATATTTGTCCATCGATAGCAATCAAAAAAAAAATTTTCTGTGAGTTTAATTGTTAGCTATTGCAGATATCAATTGATAGCAATCGGCATTTGATATTGATTGTCTGAATCAACTGATTTCTTTTAGCGATTTTTATCAACCATGCCTGGTTTATATCTACACGACTAATTTACCACCAAGATGTGTCACTACTCTGTCACAGCAACTGACTTCAAGTTTGATTTGTTTCTCAGATCATTTGTTTAAATGCAAGCTGACAGCCATGCGTTCTCTGCAGTACTGCTGTTTATTGATTCCAGTTAAGAACAGAGAACTGCTGCAAATGCTGTTGAAATTTATGGTTAAGCTGATGGATAATCATGTGATATCCTTAAGTGATGAATTACCCACCAAAGAAATGGTAAGAGAATGGTTTATTAATTTTAAGAGGAGGCCTCCAATCACTTAGAGGAGTCTAAAATATATCTTAAATGTCTAAAATACAAAATCCTTTTTGGCATAAGTCTCTTTAGCTCACTTGGCAGTGACGCTCACTCGGTTATTGCTTTATAATACGTTTTGTTTCTGTCCCATTCCGTTCTTGGCTTGCTAATTTTGGCCATGTAACCGTTTCGGGTATTATAACCGTGTTGTTCGCTCATGGTAGATCTGAACACATCGAAATGTTCAAGGATCTCTCCCTTCATTGCTAGAACTAAAAGCTCCACTATGATATTTTCAAGGTTGAGTTTAAAACTTGTGCTTACTTGTCATTCATATATTGATTGATGTGTTACTGTTTGACATTCTTCTTTCTTCATTGTCTGCAGCTTATCCAGTCCTTTAGTCGTGCAATATTTGGTGTTTCTTCGGACATGGATGCAATTAGGCTTGTTTACTTTATGATGGAAACGTTTCCTGAATTTTTCAAGGTAAGATCCAGACATTTTTTGAACAAATTCAAAGACCTTGGTCTCAAGTTATGGTTGCATTTTGTTTAGAGTAATGTTCTGTATACCATAAAGAGGTGAGAATTTAAATTGCGTTGTATTGGATGAATCCATGTTCATTGCGCCTTCGTTTTATAGTTTCGTTTACTTAAAATCTCGACCCCGCCCGTTAGTCTTTTAATAAGTACGTTTTCAATCCATCATGCAGCTGTTTGAGGACAAATGTTCTACAGGTACAAAGGAATAAAGTGTTGTTTATGCTGTTTCGTTAAAACTGAACCTGTCGGATTTGTACAGGTACGACTGTTAAGGGGAACTTACTTGAGCTATTTCCTTCTTGCAAACCGTTTGATTGTTTGTAATGTTATCTATATCGCAGAATCCTGAAGGACTTCAATTTCAAGTTGAACAGCGACTCTTATTCTTGAAGAATTGTCGAGAAAACAAGGTTGGTTATGTTTCTCATTAGAATGTTCATGCTCATCGCTATTATCGTTTTGAATATAATTTTTTGATAATTTTTTTCTTAGTCAGTTATTGTGCCTCCTGAGGGCCCCGTTGTGTCCTTTTGTGAACGGGTCACGCCACAAGAATACAAAGAACAATCTCTAATTACATCACAGCGTTCCTTGAAGGACCTTCTCAACAGAATTGTCGATGATGAGAGTTTAAACGCGAAAGACAAGAAAAAACAACTGAAACAGGTAAGTTTCCATAACATATGCTTTGATGTTTGGTTACAACAACTTGAGCAGAAAATATAGCAACGTGACCTACAAACAGATCTTCATGGTTCTCCGTACTTCATCCTGTACTTCTCCTTTTGGACCCTTTACTTGACTTCTAAGTTGCATTTTATGCGATAGTCGGAAAACACTTCAGTGATATTTTGACTAAACTTTCTCAGCCGCATTTCTAAACAGGCTCGCTAGTGGGGTACAGGGTGGGATGAAAGAAACGGGAAACCCGAAGCGCGGTCTTGCTGATTTTTTTCGTCTAGGCTAAAATGTTGCACCATTCCACTAAACGACTATTCAAAGATTAGAACAAGTCAGAGATGATGTTAGTTTTACTGCTTTTTTACTTTGTTAGTTTGAGAAGTCTTATCCTGATATCTATCAAGCAAAGTTTCCAGGAGACAACTTATCAACCTGTTCACAGAGGTCACAGAGATCAGAGAAACTTAGACAAGTTATGAAGCCGCTGGCTATACTTAAGAACTTGCGATAACAGAACTCTCTTGAAGGACCAAACTTGGTGGTGTCTTATGGCCATTTGCTGGACTTCTTCCTGTTTATTACTTTTAACAAGACCAAGTAATTTGGAGTATCTGTTGTATCCGGTGATCCCTGTGGTACAACCGTTCATTGTTAGTCCCTTCCGAGAAGGGTTTTATTTTTTCCTCGTCGCGCAAAATGAAAAGGCCTAGACTTACATACGAGATTGTTTTATTATATTTTTTATATCATATATAGCATTTTAAAGCTTTCATATTTTAGGAATAATGTTTTAATCAATTGACTGATCGAGATTAACTATTATATATACTATTTCTGAGAGAACTGTCATCAGATCGAAGCCGAGAGATCAATCGTAGCCGGAATGTTTCCTTTTTGTGGGATTTTATACTTTTTTTTTTCAAGTTTTCTTAGCCAAAATTTCAACCTCCCCCTCAGGTCGGGAGTAAGAAAACGGAAAAGAGAGATGAAATCTTGTGTTTATTTGGGTTCTGTAATTAGGACCGTACCTGTAGTACTCATCGTCATAATATATTCATTTATTCGATATCAGTGGAAAACAGAGCTGAAAATGAATCGAGCTACCTGGCGTGTTTTCTCATTAGTTACACTAACGACATTGTTTTTTTCTATTCCAAAACTCATGGGCGGAATGTTTTCTCTATAGCGAGGGAGCACTCTCTTGTCTACAACACATTTTGTTTTTTCTTCAAATTCACCCCTTGCCTAAAAAAGTAACTATGTGTAATTTGTCGTACACTCTAAGAAATTGATAATTCTTCGATCTGCCATATTCAGTAATCTTCTATTTGAATAGGGGATTTTACTGGCTTAGTTTTAAGCGGCCTTTATTGTGTTAATTATCGCAGGATCCAGTTTGTATGCAGTGTGCAATCTTTTCAGCTTGATTCACCCCGGTCAAGTATCCGCCATGAACGTACCCGTTGTACAACTCGTCAGTTGCCTCGCCGGAGAAAAACACGTGTCCGACGGGTTTCTGAAGTTTGACGTAATCATCACTAGATATTCCGATTGGTAGGTTTGCCCATGAGCCGAAGAAAAACTTGTCAAGTCCCCATCTTGGATAGTAAATGTCTATTGGGTCAGGAATGCTTGTACCATACATACTTCTCAGAACTTCCATGATTTCTTGTTTGGTTTGTTCGTTGGTCTGATATTCTAGTCTTATGGACTCTTCTCCCGTGACTGTGATCAAAAGTATATTGGTTCCCTTCGGTAGACGAGAATCTGCTTCTAAATTCTGCATCATAGAATAGTAACCTCTTCTTTTAGAAGCGTAAAGAATATACTCTTCATCATCCCAAAATTTAGAGGGAAACTTTACAAATATCTTGGTATATATAACCATATTTAGCTTGAAAATCGCCTCTAATTTCCAGTTAGGAAGTTCGGGTGTAAACTGGATAAGTCCGCTTTTAAGTACACCGATACTGAAAGTCACAAGAGCGTAATCTGCGGTGTACACGTCACCGTTGTCGGAAGTGACATAAACGCCGTTCGTATTCCACTTGACTTCCTTCACTTTTGTGTTCAACTGTAACCGCGAGTCCCTGGGTTCAAGAAACATGCCCGCCAAACAATTCACAATATGCACGTACCCTCTTGAGTCTGTAACAAAGAGTTGTTCCCCCCCTACTGAGTGAATGGTTCCATTGACGGCTATCTTTGTTCTAAGTGAAACGTATTTAGGTGGGACTGCATATTCAAAGTCGTATTCAAAGTACTCTGTAGCCATTTCTTCCGGATTGGAAGGTAGCCAGTTTGCAATTCGTAGACCTACTCGGGCGGAAATGTCCTCATATTTCAACTTTCTGCGTGTGATTTGCATCTTGTCAATGATGTCTTCATCATGTTTCAGAAGGCTCATCTTTCCTTTTTCAGTTGTTTTAAATCCACTTTCATTTCTAATCACAAATGATCTGTTCTCAAGCTTTCCTTGCAATCCACATTTTAGCGCTAATGTTTCGATGGGATTTCCCTTGACCCCTTGAATCCAGTTTGCTCCAAGTTCAATGGTAGTGTTGTGAAATGTCATTTTTCTCATTCTTCCTCCAATCCTGTCTGTTCCTTCTAAGATAATGAAATCTTTGATTCCCAGGTCACTCAGGGTTTTTGCGGCGGCAATTCCAGATATACCTCCGCCAAGAACCAAAACGGTCGCATTTCTTTGTTTTGCTGTACCATGGTTTAAGATCGTAGCACAGGCCAGGAATGCGAGCAAATTGACTGAGCTAAGGCTTGCCATCTTTACTGACAGACCAAACCAGACTAATGATCCTTACCGAACAATGAAAGTGTCGAAATTTGAAAAGATAACGACACCCCGTGATCTGCACGTGGTACGTCGCGAGCTCCTGGGTTAGCGAGGGTTAGAGCGACCGTGAGAGACCTGGGTGATAAAACGTCATCAAAACATGAACTTCATTGCGAAGGTACTTCATTGACAAAGATGAAAAGATATTTTAGCAGAGTAGAACTGCTTAGACATTCAAGGCTGCCGATTTTTGGGACCTAAAATACTGGTTGAAGTTATTTTGATCGTCGACATGCCAGTGGAGGGAACAAACCCTCTCATAAACGCCCGAGATAGGTTATTCCGCGCCCTGTTTTTCAAAATGGCGCTCATGTATGCCCGTTCTTTTCCTCCGCCTGTTCGACTGCTTTTGGAGATGGGAGTGCTCATGAAGGTATTTATATCTATTATATCTAACCCATGGTATTTAAGGGTGTTNATCAATATCAATCCATAATAATCAATATCAATCGGAGAATGATATCGATTGCTATCAGCAATGGAAGAAAATCAATGAAAAAAAAAGTTGTGAGTTTGATTGTTATCAATAACTGCTGATAGTAATTGATAACGATTGATTCATCAATTGGTATCGATTGTTATCGGAATTATTTTTGTCCTCTAACAAGTTTCACTGATAAAATGATTGACAAAATTTGTCTGTAATGTATTATTGAGTCATTTTAGGTTTATAGCCTACACATCTTTTACAATCATCAACAAAATAAGAAGAACAGAAAGAACTAACAAATCATTTTGGGCTTTACATCTTTCTTCAAAATAACAACTGCCAAACCAAGTTTGATGCCTTTTGCTTAAAGATGGCAGCGATCTGGAGGGCTGCAGTGTCAGTGTGTTTATGAATTTGAGCTAGACTCTGATTTACGGAAAATTGCCAACAAAGATATTAAGGATGGAGTCAATAGCACGACTATGAACAGATATAAATTGTTAATGGTAATTGTTGATTATTTTTATCACTCAATACCATTGTTATTCCTGAAGACAAGAATTACCGATTGTCAGCGATATTTGTCCATCGATAGCAATCAAAAAAAAAATTTTCTGTGAGTTTAATTGTTAGCTATTGCAGATATCAATTGATAGCAATCGGCATTTGATATTGATTGTCTGAATCAACTGATTTCTTTTAGCGATTTTTATCAACCATGCCTGGTTTATATCTACACGACTAATTTACCACCAAGATGTGTCACTACTCTGTCACAGCAACTGACTTCAAGTTTGATTTGTTTCTCAGATCATTTGTTTAAATGCAAGCTGACAGCCATGCGTTCTCTGCAGTACTGCTGTTTATTGATTCCAGTTAAGAACAGAGAACTGCTGCAAATGCTGTTGAAATTTATGGTTAAGCTGATGGACAATCATGTGATATCCTTAAGTGATGAATTACCCACCAAAGAAATGGTAAGAGAATGGTTTATTAATTTTAAGAGGAGGCCTCCAATCATTTAGAGGAGTCTAAAATATATTTTAAATGTCTAAAATACAAAATCCTTTTTGGCATAAGTCTCTTTAGCTCACTTGGCAGTGACGCTCACTCGGTTATTGCTTTATAATACGTTTTGTTTCTGTCCCATTCCGTTCTTGGCTTGCTAATTTTGGCCATGTAACCGTTTCGGGTATTATAACCGTGTTGTTCGCTCATGGTAGATCTGAACACATCGAAATGTTCAAGGATCTCTCCCTTCATTGCTAGAACTAAAAGCTCCACTATGATATTTTCAAGGTTGAGTTTAAAACTTGTGCTTACTTGTCATTCATATATTGATTGATGTGTTACTGTTTGACATTCTTCTTTCTTCATTGTCTGCAGCTTATCCAGTCCTTTAGTCGTGCAATATTTGGTGTTTCTTCGGACATGGATGCAATTAGGCTTGTTTACTTTATGATGGAAACGTTTCCTGAATTTTTCAAGGTAAGATCCAGACATTTTTTGAACAAATTCAAAGACCTTGGTCTCAAGTTATGGTTGCATTTTGTTTAGAGTAATGTTCTGTATACCATAAAGAGGTGAGAATTTAAATTGCGTTGTATTGGATGAATCCATGTTCATTGCGCCTTCGTTTTATAGTTTCGTTTACTTAAAATCTCGACCCCGCCCGTTAGTCTTTTAATAAGTACGTTTTCAATCCATCATGCAGCTGTTTGAGGACAAATGTTCTACAGGTACAAAGGAATAAAGTGTTGTTTATGCTGTTTCGTTAAAACTGAACCTGTCGGATTTGTACAGGTACGACTGTTAAGGGGAACTTACTTGAGCTATTTCCTTCTTGCAAACCGTTTGATTGTTTGTAATGTTATCTATATCGCAGAATCCTGAAGGACTTCAATTTCAAGTTGAACAGCGACTCTTATTCTTGAAGAATTGTCGAGAAAACAAGGTTGGTTATGTTTCTCATTAGAATGTTCATGCTCATCGCTATTATCGTTTTGAATATAATTTTTTGATAATTTTTTTCTTAGTCAGTTATTGTGCCTCCTGAGGGCCCCGTTGTGTCCTTTTGTGAACGGGTCACGCCACAAGAATACAAAGAACAATCTCTAATTACATCACAGCGTTCCTTGAAGGACCTTCTCAACAGAATTGTCGATGATGAGAGTTTAAACGCGAAAGACAAGAAAAAACAACTGAAACAGGTAAGTTTCCATAACATATGCTTTGATGTTTGGTTACAACAACTTGAGCAGAAAATATAGCAACGTGACCTACAAACAGATCTTCATGGTTCTCCGTACTTCATCCTGTACTTCTCCTTTTGGACCCTTTACTTGACTTCTAAGTTGCATTTTATGCGATAGTCGGAAAACACTTCAGTGATATTTTGACTAAACTTTCTCAGCCGCATTTCTAAACAGGCTCGCTAGTGGGGTACAGGGTGGGATGAAAGAAACGGGAAACCCGAAGCGCGGTCTTGCTGATTTTTTTCGTCTAGGCTAAAATGTTGCACCATTCCACTAAACGACTATTCAAAGATTAGAACAAGTCAGAGATGATGTTAGTTTTACTGCTTTTTTACTTTGTTAGTTTGAGAAGTCTTATCCTGATATCTATCAAGCAAAGTTTCCAGGAGACAACTTATCAACCTGTTCACAGAGGTCACAGAGATCAGAGAAACTTAGACAAGTTATGAAGCCGCTGGCTATACTTAAGAACTTGCGATAACAGAACTCTCTTGAAGGACCAAACTTGGTGGTGTCTTATGGCCATTTGCTGGACTTCTTCCTGTTTATTACTTTTAACAAGACCAAGTAATTTGGAGTATCTGTTGTATCCGGTGATCCCTGTGGTACAACCGTTCATTGTTAGTCCCTTCCGAGAAGGGTTTTATTTTTTCCTCGTCGCGCAAAATGAAAAGGCCTAGACTTACATACGAGATTGTTTTATTATATTTTTTATATCATATATAGCATTTTAAAGCTTTCATATTTTAGGAATAATGTTTTAATCAATTGACTGATCGAGATTAACTATTATATATACTATTTCTGAGAGAACTGTCATCAGATCGAAGCCGAGAGATCAATCGTAGCCGGAATGTTTCCTTTTTGTGGGATTTTATACTTTTTTTTTTCAAGTTTTCTTAGCCAAAATTTCAACCTCCCCCTCAGGTCGGGAGTAAGAAAACGGAAAAGAGAGATGAAATCTTGTGTTTATTTGGGTTCTGTAATTAGGACCGTACCTGTAGTACTCATCGTCATAATATATTCATTTATTCGATATCAGTGGAAAACAGAGCTGAAAATGAATCGAGCTACCTGGCGTGTTTTCTCATTAGTTACACTAACGACATTGTTTTTTTCTATTCCAAAACTCATGGGCGGAATGTTTTCTCTATAGCGAGGGAGCACTCTCTTGTCTACAACACATTTTGTTTTTTCTTCAAATTCACCCCTTGCCTAAAAAAGTAACTATGTGTAATTTGTCGTACACTCTAAGAAATTGATAATTCTTCGATCTGCCATATTCAGTAATCTTCTATTTGAATAGGGGATTTTACTGGCTTAGTTTTAAGCGGCCTTTATTGTGTTAATTATCGCAGGATCCAGTTTGTATGCAGTGTGCAATCTTTTCAGCTTGATTCACCCCGGTCAAGTATCCGCCATGAACGTACCCGTTGTACAACTCGTCAGTTGCCTCGCCGGAGAAAAACACGTGTCCGACGGGTTTCTGAAGTTTGACGTAATCATCACTAGATATTCCGATTGGTAGGTTTGCCCATGAGCCGAAGAAAAACTTGTCAAGTCCCCATCTTGGATAGTAAATGTCTATTGGGTCAGGAATGCTTGTACCATACATACTTCTCAGAACTTCCATGATTTCTTGTTTGGTTTGTTCGTTGGTCTGATATTCTAGTCTTATGGACTCTTCTCCCGTGACTGTGATCAAAAGTATATTGGTTCCCTTCGGTAGACGAGAATCTGCTTCTAAATTCTGCATCATAGAATAGTAACCTCTTCTTTTAGAAGCGTAAAGAATATACTCTTCATCATCCCAAAATTTCGAGGGAAACTTTACAAATATCTTGGTATATATAACCATATTTAGCTTGAAAATCGCCTCTAATTTCCAGTTAGGAAGTTCGGGTGTAAACTGGATAAGTCCGCTTTTAAGTACACCGATACTGAAAGTCACAAGAGCGTAATCTGCGGTGTACACGTCACCGTTGTCGGAAGTGACATAAACGCCGTTCGTATTCCACTTGACTTCCTTCACTTTTGTGTTCAACTGTAACCGCGAGTCCCTGGGTTCAAGAAACATGCCCGCCAAACAATTCACAATATGCACGTACCCTCTTGAGTCTGTAACAAAGAGTTGTTCCCCCCCTACTGAGTGAATGGTTCCATTGACGGCTATCTTTGTTCTAAGTGAAACGTATTTAGGTGGGACTGCATATTCAAAGTCGTATTCAAAGTACTCTGTAGCCATTTCTTCCGGATTGGAAGGTAGCCAGTTTGCAATTCGTAGACCTACTCGGGCGGAAATGTCCTCATATTTCAACTTTCTGCGTGTGATTTGCATCTTGTCAATGATGTCTTCATCATGTTTCAGAAGGCTCATCTTTCCTTTTTCAGTTGTTTTAAATCCACTTTCATTTCTAATCACAAATGATCTGTTCTCAAGCTTTCCTTGCAATCCACATTTTAGCGCTAATGTTTCGATGGGATTTCCCTTGACCCCTTGAATCCAGTTTGCTCCAAGTTCAATGGTAGTGTTGTGAAATGTCATTTTTCTCATTCTTCCTCCAATCCTGTCTGTTCCTTCTAAGATAATGAAATCTTTGATTCCCAGGTCACTCAGGGTTTTTGCGGCGGCAATTCCAGATATACCTCCGCCAAGAACCAAAACGGTCGCATTTCTTTGTTTTGCTGTACCATGGTTTAAGATCGTAGCACAGGCCAGGAATGCGAGCAAATTGACTGAGCTAAGGCTTGCCATCTTTACTGACAGACCAAACCAGACTAATGATCCTTACCGAACAATGAAAGTGTCGAAATTTGAAAAGATAACGACACCCCGTGATCTGCACGTGGTACGTCGCGAGCTCCTGGGTTAGCGAGGGTTAGAGCGACCGTGAGAGACCTGGGTGATAAAACGTCATCAAAACATGAACTTCATTGCGAAGGTACTTCATTGACAAAGATGAAAAGATATTTTAGCAGAGTAGAACTGCTTAGACATTCAAGGCTGCCGATTTTTGGGACCTAAAATACTGGTTGAAGTTATTTTGATCGTCGACATGCCAGTGGAGGGAACAAACCCTCTCATAAACGCCCGAGATAGGTTATTCCGCGCCCTGTTTTTCAAAATGGCGCTCATGTATGCCCGTTCTTTTCCTCCGCCTGTTCGACTGCTTTTGGAGATGGGAGTGCTCATGAAGGTATTTATATCTATTATATCTAACCCATGGTATTTAAGGGTGTT